TATATATATATATATAAATCCACCTTTGGAAGGCAGCAGGGGAAAAAATAAAACAAACCAAAACCAGCAACAATAAAACAAGCGCTTTTGAGAAATATCAAACTTATTCACAAGATTAAAAAAAAAACCAAAAAAGAAATAAACAAAACCAAAAAGAACCAAGACCACTCTTACAGTATAAACACGCCAATTCATTCATTTTTACTGATGGTTGCATTTATGAATTTCATTCTTGTGAAAAAAGGGAATAAAAGGAAAAAAAATTAAGAAAATAGCTATTTATAGAAAACAAAACAAAAAAGGGCTCAAACAACAGAATCTGTGCTGATGCTTTTGGATGAGCAGTCCGATGGCATTGAACATTACCTGTGCAAGCAGGCATGCTTGAAAACCTGTCTGAGTACTGCAGCTTCAGTTCCACAATCCAGGATTTCTTTCGTGGTTGTTGGAAAAAAAAGAGCCTAATAGTTTCATACTGTATTTATTTAATAACTAAAATTCACAAATAAAAAGATACTTGCAAAGTCCTTTAGTTGTCTCATCCCCTCCTCCTCCACTCTACTGCTTTCAGACCCATATGCATAAAAAAATGGGTTTGGATTTTTAAATTTTAACTGTTATATGATTGGTCGTTGGAGCTGAAGCACCAAATGGAGAAGATGCTTTATGGAGATGAGGGTAGAATCCTTTGCCTTCCCACACACATTTTGGAGGAACACAGGAGATGTACCAGTGCCCGGACTCCTCTGCTCCCATTTCCCCCACCCAGAGCATTCCTTTCATTTTATATTTCCTCTGTTAAGTGACTGACTGCAGCCTCTTTTCCCCCTTTCTGTCCTCGTGGAACTGCACACACGTTGGACATTGTTCATTTCTCACTCTCCAGGCTGTGAGTCAGTGTCAAGTAGGTCCTGTTACAGCTCAGTGCGAGTTGGTTTGTAATGGGTCTTTTCATTTCAGGTAGGTTTGTGTGTCGATTCAGAAGGCTTGCGTTGTTTCTTCCTTGTTTACATCTGACAAGCTGCTGGATAAGGCTATTCATACTCCAGGAACTGTTTGTGATAGAACAGCAAATATCTGGAAGAAAGCAGAGGGACAGTGTCAGTTCTGTGCTGAAGCAGATGAGTTTCCATTGATGCAACTGTAAGACATGAGGGCTGTTAATTCTGGTTTTCTTTTCAATTTGAGGTGATTCCAGGGACAGAGAGAGGAGGGAAGACAGCTGACATAATTTTACCAGCAACTCAGGGAACTGAACAGCTGTACATCAAAGAGGAGCCCCATGGATGCCCCATCCCTGGAAGTGTTCAAGGCCAGGGACAGGACTTGGATAGTGAAAGGTGTTCCTGCCCATGGCAGGGGGTTGGAGTGAGATGAGATTTAAGGTCTTCTCTTAGCCAGGCCATTCTATGATCCTATGAAAGAGTCAAACCTTCTAAAATCTACTCAGGAACTGAAAACTCTGGAAGATTGGATTCTGCAGGTGCCCAGTCAGCAGCCATTTAACACTAATGTGACACAAAATAAAGGTGCTTTAAGATGCAACTGTGGCTTTAGAGTCACACTACCAGAGCTCAGACCAGGATTACTGCAAACTGCCTCCCTTTTACTAGAACAGAAGCAAAATGAAGCAGCAGCCACGTGTGTGAACACTCATGTCCCAGTCAAATATCTGATGTGTCAATGTGCACTCAAATCTGGTGTTTTAAAGGATGAAATCCTTCCTGTCCCTAATTACTGTGTGTGTACTGGTACAAAAGGGAGCTCAGCCCCTGAGCAGTCACACAGAAGAAGGGGACTGATCCCCACAGAAGGAACCCTGTTCCCACACTGACACAGCCACTGCTGAGTCCTCAGAACACTTGTGAGATGTTCCAATTGTTTTAATTCCATCCAAGTCCTATGGATTCCCTCACATGACACAGAGCTACCATGTCAGCCTTCATCTGAACCAGGGAAATGCATCAAAGCTCAAAGCAGCCTTTATGGGCAATAGTTGTGTTGTACATCCTCTCCTCCTTGCCTCTGACAGGTTCTTCCATGGGCATAACCCCATCTGAGCACCAGGCATGTGTTACTGAATTACAACAAACTCATTTCTCTGCTCACCTCAAAGCAGAAGTTCCCTGTCAAGTCATTTAACACTAAAATTCAGGTATTATAGATTTCTGTTTTTATTTCCCAATTGAAGTTTAAAAAAAGGAAAATAAGGAAAATCTATTTAAAAAATTACAACCTGAACATTGTGCCTGCAGCAATCCTTGAAAATGTCATGAATAATTAAAACAAAAATGGTAAAGACTTATCTCTGCAGTACCAAGTCTGCAGACAAAAATGCAAAATGAAGACTTAAAACCTTAAGTTGCTTTTTTCTTGGAATATACACCAGTCCTCAGTGCTTCCCTAAAATGAGGAACACCGCAGTGCTTCCCCTGAAAAATACTGCTGTCCTCCCAAAACTTGTGTAATACAAATATCAGAAGCCATAATGTCAATCTGAGATTAATTTAAAGCCACAAGCTTAGAAACAGCTCATGTTCTCTACCTGCCTCCCATAGAGCCTTGCTATTCTGGGTCACAGCACTTCCTTAATGGCTTCTCTTCAAATCTTTTACATTCATAATAATCCAAAGGTTCTGCAGGCACAGACTGGATTGTGTCCCAGAGTTAAGCGCTGCTCCTGCACTGGCTGATCACATCACTTTGGTTTTCAAAATCCCTTCCATTAGCAGGAATTTGGACATGAGCACCAGTTCCAGACACTGCAGTGTCATCTGATGTCCCCTCCCTTTCCTTCAGCAAATCCAGGGTTATAAAGCAATTATGTAAAATATAATTGTCTGGTCTCCATGCTGAAGCACTGAGCATTACGAGAGATATTCAAGAGAGAAATTATCCTTCTCTATGATTAAAATGAGTTTTTTAAAGTAAGGAAAACACAACAAAGGTTAAAGTTTGCCTTCCTTTCCCCTTCCCAGGTGACCACTTACCCTTCACTGTCTAGCACATCCTTAATGCTTGCCTTGGTGATAATGGCATCATCACACTTGAACCACTGGTCCTTGTGCTGCCGGATGAAGCTGGTATAGTGCCCGCTCTCCAAGGTTCCCTGGTGATTAACTACTGCAAACAAGGAATACCTGGGACAGAAAACACATCATGAATACGTGCATCAAAAGGGGGAAAACAACAGACATTTCACACAGGCAGAAGCTTTTGTTCATAAACACACATAGTAATGGTAAAGGAACTGATCCATCAGTAAAACACCAGCTTTAAAACTAGCTGGGAAGAGAGTGGCCTTGCTCAGGGGAAAAAATAAACATTTTTCTTTTCCTGTCTTGCTGTTTTTGCAACTCTCCAGTCTGGTGACCACTGTCAGCTTTACCAATACTGGCTATCAAATTTACTTTTAAAATAGATCAATATTGGTGCATTCCTGAACAGAACCACTGATTATCCAGTCTGACCTTTTACTTCCCTGATTTACTCTAGTGAACCAGAAAAAATGCATTTGAGGTATGGTCAAGGAGGTAATCTTAGATATTTCTAATGATAAACTGCTGAACTGATTAACTGCCCTTAATCTGCAAAGCCTGTACTTATTTTGAAATGTGAATATATTCAGCCTCAACTTCCAGCTCTCAGGTGCTGCTGTGCATTTGCCTGAAAACCTGCAGGCCCATGTCTGCAGTTCCAAAAAAGATACTGATAATCAAGTTGCTCTCATTTTCTTTTTCCTTTTATTTTTTTAAAAGTGCAAGACTGAAGTCTTTGACTCTTTTGTTCTAAGGTAAGATTTTGTTTCCAGTCTTAAATACACTAGTGGCTCTTTTTCAAGTATTTTCCACTCTCTTTTAACTCTTTCATAAAATGCTGCTCTCACACTTGGTGACACAAGCACAACTACACAATGGTAAAACAATCTCCCTAATCTCACTTGATATTGTCCCACTCAAATTCAAAATTCACAGAACTCTTCTGACACAGCAGTGCCACAACAAGGCACCTATTCACTGACTGCCTACAGAGCCACTGATTTAGAGCCACCCTCTCTAGGGGAGTCCTTGAATCCAACTAGGAAGGACTGCACCCTTCAGCCACAGCTGGAGCCTTCTGACATTGCCCCAGCTGTTCCCTGCCACCCAGATCCCTCAGGAATCCAAATGTCTTTGCACTCATTACCTAAATCTGATTAATTTTTAACAATTTCTCCAAGTTAAGGCATGTGCAAACCTCCGAAGTGATCAGCTGTGTTACCTTCAGACCTTTTCTAACACTAGTGAACACCCCACATCTCATGATTCAAGTTGTAGGCCCACACAACACCTGCACTAAGACCTGGATTGTTTGGTTTTACATCTTTGTGTGATTCTGGTTTCTTACTGAAACTTTTAGTAGCAAACCAAGTGCCTTGAATTTAAATACACAGCAGCAGCCATGAAACTTGTAACTTTATTTAACTTAAAGAGGTAAGGTTTGTGTCACCATTTCTAGTCCCATAAAGCAATGGATACTAGTTTAAATTACACCCCCTTTACGTTCTTGAGCAAATCCCACACCAGTCCATCATGTTTTCCAACTGGAATCAATATCTGACCAATAGACCATGGGATCACTGGGATCATTTACTCCTGACTCTGAGTGTCAGTGTTATATTAGCTTTCTTTGGTCCTCTGGAACTCCCTTTGCCATTGGAATGGGAAGAGGAATATTTCAAGGAAACACCCATCCCTTGTAATAAATATGGTGACCACAGCATTTAATTTTGCCCACAGACCATTTGCTGGGGGCATCACCCTCAGCTCTGGAACAGCTGCCACAGCCCACGGAAGGGCAGGAACTGCAGTGAGTGAAGCTTTATTTTGCAACATTTCAGACTTACTGTGCTGTCAGATATGGTAATGCACTGCAGGATATAAAACAACACCATCTCCTTCTGGAAGGCAACTACCTTTCACAATAGGAGTCATGGAATGTACCACTTACTTATTATCATTGTTTAGACTATCCGTCGGCTGCTGGTACTGCCCGTTCATTCTGCTCTCTTTACTGCAACACACACACACACAAAAATCCAGTCACTTAAAGCAGTGGCTTCTCAAACCCAGGAAATTGCTCTGATATGACACACAGCCCGTGTGCTGAATCCAGGTCCTTATTCCAGCTGAGCAGCAAAGGGCTGATTAGGATGCTAAAGATGCTTTATTTGCTCTCACAGCAGTGCTACATCACAAATACCATTTCTCCTCCTGGTCAAGGCTTCAGTGCTGCAAATACACATCTGTTTATGTCAAATGTTTTATCCAAAAAGCTTAAAACAGGTTAAGAAAAGATTTGTATTTGAAACCCAGGAAATTATCTAATTACATCAATCCTTTATCTTGTGATGGGTCAGTCATCCCGGCTCTGACTTGTAAATTCATTTTGTGTTTTGACAGCAGCAATAGGATTATGCTGTTGATTTCCTAGCTGGTGAAATTCAGACTACTGAGTTATGCCTGCTGATTATCCCATCTCTATTCCATTATGCTTGATACTTTCATCAGCAGAGCCTGTTCTATCCAGGGAGAATTCACCACAGAGGAACAAGGAAGTCTCAAAATCTCCAGAATATATTGGAATAAACCATATATTCTTAATATAACAGTATTTAACAGAGCTTCAGGGCTCTCCTTTATCTCTTGGTAGATGCATCTACTTTTTTTCCTGGGAAATGAGGAGTGCAGGCAAAGCTTGAAATTGTAAGTAAAATCTCAGCATCAAAAAGAGTCTCTCTGTTAAGAGATACCATGGTTTGGGGCTTTCTGCACTGCTTCAGATATAAATTAAATCTGAATATCCTCTTGCATATTTGCATGAACACCTGACAAAGACTTTTTAATTAAGCTGATTAAATTCCTTTCATAAAGGTGCATTTATATAAATGCCACGTCTTCCACAAACCTGGGAGGTGGAAGAAGTCTTGCTGTTTCTATTTTAATCTGGACTGTTTTTGCTTCTTGCAGCATTCCCTAAACAGAAGTTGAAGGTACTAAACAAAAACCCCCAGGTTCACGTATGTGCAGGAATAAAGAGGAAGGATTTTTATAACTTCAGGAATACTTGTTAGGGATTAAGTTGGCTCTGTTCTGGCCAACTGCACAGGATGGCAGGTGGGTGGGCACAGAGGGGATGAGACCAAAGCAGGGATCTGAAGGCAGGATGGATCTGGGTCTATAAATTTAACAGGCAACCAGAAACATAACACACATTAATTAAAGAATCCCACCACAATGTTTAAATATAAATCCTTTTCAGGCACATGAAATGAAACAGCTTATCTAAAAATGGGTTTAGACAAGCTACACCTTCCACAGAGATGCTCATGGCAGAAAAACCATCGCAGACACTGTTCTGTACCCTCAAGTATGCTCCTTGTTTTGTGCTGCACAGGTATGAACTGGGAACCAGTTCTGCTCAGGTCTGTGGAGGGTTTTGGACTTGGAACCCACCTGGAAGCCATGAAAGGTGTCATGTCCAGCTCCAGTGGAAACGAGACATACGTAGTGATCTTCCGCCTCAGTTTGGCTGAGTGTTCAAACCGCTGCAGGCAAAGGCAAGAGGTTTTTTCTTTAGAGAAAAGTTAAATTTTATGTCTTTTATAAATGTCCTAAGCTTAGAAACAATAACATGAAAGCACATTAGCAGGACATTGCAGGGACAGCCCCAGATTTTTCCCACCAGCTCTCTGGGAATGTCCAAGTAAATAATGACATATTTCTCCCAGGAAAATAAACATTTGTGTTGATACACTATTAATTAGATTATTTACCTTGATATCTATGCATACAAACTTATTCTCATCTGACATCAAAGAAAAAAATACATTAAACAGGGAGAGCACAGACAGCCTTTACCCAAAGCAGTGTTCATTGGCACTAGGGCTGTACAAACCCATGGCTGCTGCCTACCCTGGCTCACAGAACCGGTGATAACAGAGTTTGTCTTTGGATTCATATCCTGAATCCACCCATCCAATCATCTCAAGTGACAGGAGTCAAACCTACACAGGAATACCCATTCAAATTATGGCAAAAAATGGAATATGCTAACAAAAAAAGCCTTGTCCCTCAGCCAAAAGGGGCCTGCAATACCCACCATCCTCTCCTCGTCTCCTTCACTGAACATTAAATAGAAACAGGAACAAATACCAGAGATGAATGAGTTTCTATTTAAAGGCAGCTGCCCTCTCAATTTCTCAGAAATTCTGCTCTATTTACACTTCAAGTTAATTATTTTCCAATTGTGATGCTGTAACAATTCCCTAGCAACAGATCCAGATGTGAAAAGCTGAGACTTCTGTAATTCTTATCTTTTGTGTTTCTCTTTTGCATTAACACACAAAATGAAATTTGCATTTTTGCGTAGACAGGACAACACAATCACTTAGGAAAAGTAATTTATTTTCCAAAAAATCTTCAGTCATTTGGGATGACACAAATACTGAACTATGTATAGGAAAGGAGTGGAGCACATCCACCTTGACTTTGACTTGCCTAAAGAGCAGAATCATGAAGGTCCATCTTGTCAACTACTCCATAGCAATAAAAACAAAAGCCCAAAATTGCCTCCAAAAGTCAAGCACTCCTGAAACCTCAATTCAGTGATGAAACAATATCCTTCAGGAAGATCAGAAACAACCAAATCAAAACAAAGGAACTGTGCTTCTACCCAGTCCAGTCAGGCTGTAACACCTTTGACATGTGACATTGCATATCCTCATGGTCAATGCTCAAGGTGCAGCTGAAGAAGCTGGTGGGGATGAACACCTGCAGGCCTGTGAATTAGAGGGGGAAGTCTTTCCACTTGTAACACCTTCTTCTAGGATGTGGATCCATCTTGACAGAGGATGACCTTCACCTGCTGTGACAGCTGCTCACTTTACACTGCATTTCTGACAGAAATTGTATAGGACTAAACTATCCAAGGGCCCCGACTGTGCCATTATCTGCCATAATTTCATGTGACATCTGCTTTGGAAATATTTAAAATGTTTAAAACTTCTCTGCAGTTGGGAAGATACAATTGTGTTTCTCCATTGATATCAGAACTTTTCCATGCTTTTCCTTCAATACAGTGGCAATCTTTCAGTGAAAGTGTAAAAATTGTACCATGTAGGATGAGGGAGTGTAACTTGAGATTGTTTTCTGTGCTGGTTCAGGTTTTGGACCAGCCTTTCATTCAAACTGGTTAAGTTCCCCCAGACACATTGCAAAGCTACATCAGAAATAATGAAACACTATCTTAAAAGAAAGTCTAGCTGAGCAAGGCAAGATGTTTTTTATATTAATTTATATCATAAAAGTTTAGTCAGTGAAAGCCAGAAGACATGTCCAAGAATTCAATCCATCCTCTCAGAGAGGAAATCACATCCTCTGCTCTGTTGGCCCCCTGTGAACTTACTTTGAGATGAAAACAGGCCACAATGGGTAACTTCTTCATAGTGAGTTGTTTGGTAGATTCTTGGTAGCTATGGCAACCACTACATTTGATTTTGGCACTGCTTCCTAGATGTTCTGGCCTTGTAAACCTAAAAAAATATTGAAAAGCAAAGGAATGCACAGAACAATCAGATGGTTTTTGACATGTGCCGAAAATGCTTTTACTTGTGGGTCACTGGCACCATAAGAGACAAGAGTCAGTGAGTTCTAAGTAATTTTGGAAAAACCTACAATAAAACCATAATAAATGTAAAGTGCTATGGCTTAGATATCAGAATGTGACATGGATCATTTCTTTAACTTGCACTGAAGTGAATCAGTGGCTGAGAAATGAGCTCAGTGCTAGTTCACAGCAGAGCAGCTCATTTTCATAAAGGAAGCAAAGAAAGATCTTTTGTTTTCAAACCCAAAAACATTGATATGGAAGACACTCTTCTGCAACACACTATTCTACCTTGTAGCCCTCCAGGGCTGGGATCAAAGCTCTGAGATGGAAGGGCCTGTAAACACAAAGTTCTTTTCAAAATACAGATACCCTTCTAAAACCCTTTGTTGACAACTAGAAAAATCTCTTTCAAAATTTTCAGACAGAACTGCCCAAAGGAGCCATGGGAAGAGACCATTAGGGAACAGGGAAGTGTTCACAGAAAATGGACTACCTCAATGCTCTTGCTACAAACTAAAGCAAAATCCCTCTTTTCCAGAAACTCAGCACAGAAAGGCCAGGACTATGGACTTTCCTTTCTCAGTCCTTTCCTCCAAGTGTAGATTTCCTAAGGGCAAATCAACCATTCTCCCAGAGGCTGCCTTGTAACTAGGATTTTTGAGATGAAATATTTTGAAATACAGTTAAAAATTTTTCATTAATGCACATGAAGAATTTGAGGGCAACATGTTGTCAGTTTGTCCCTCACCCTCATTCTGATTATGGCCAAAGCAGCCTCTAGCACTAAATGACATCACAGCTTCCTGATTAATTAACAGGATTTCCTTTACCTGGCTTATTTGTCATCATTCTCTAGTTTGTTTTTATTTTTCTTTTTTTTTTTTTTTTTCTTTGTATTTGTTTTCCCTGCAGTCTCTAAAAAGGCTTATAAACTTACACTGATAGTTGTTTGAAATGCCCTTATCTTTCCATTTTTGTGTCATTCCTGCTCAATCCTTCCTTCTTTAGGTCAGCTTCAGCTGCATGGCCACACTGACATGAAGTTACACACCTTTCTTCTTGCTAACTTTTGGATTAAAACATAGACCCATCCTCTTTATCCATTAGAGTTCAAATTCTTTCCAAAATCCATACTTTCTTCAAAGTGTCTTTGAACCTAGATGTTTTTCCTTCCCTATTATCAACTTTGATTCTACTAATCTCTATGCTGAAGAAAATCACCAAAACACAGTTGGTTTTGCCTCTTGATGTATTCCTGCATCAGCAATTTTTCATTTGTACTAATTCCCTCATTTCCTTAAAATTATTGATCTCAACGGTATCAAGCAGATTAGAAATCAGATCTTAGAGACATTGAATTTTTTATTTCAGGAGGATTAGCTTTGCCCCAGGCTCCAGGTAGCCTCTTCCTCAGGCAAATATCTGCATTTGCCACAAGAGAATGACTTTCAGATCTGCTGAAAGATCCAAGTGAACTGTACACAAAGCCATAACCTTCTCCCCAGGTACCTGTTTCCAAGATGCCTGAGTGTCAGCCTCAGAATTACCTTTTCTTTTTGAAAGCTCCATTCCTTTAATCCTTAATGGCATCCCTGCAACTAAGCTGGCAGTAGCTGACTCTCAGTTGTGCTTAGAGCAAAATCTGATTTCCTACTTGGTGTTAGAATTTAGATAAATATTAAATGCAATGTTAACTCTTTTCATGTGCCTTCTCAGCCACCAGAACCAAGAACATGGAGACAGACATTAGTGATTTTGATCATGTAAAACCCCACTACCTGGCAGTAGCCAATGCAAAATTTATTTTCTTCTTACATCATGCCACAAAAGGCTTTGAGTGTTTATTGTTGCTCTGAGCCTTCTTACTTTCTCACACACAAACAACAAAAACATGTGCAAAAATGCTGCTTGGGGACAGAGCTGTGACAAAGCATCACTCAGTGCCAGTTTTCAGAGAACAAGATGAAGCCAAATTGCCTTTCTCCAAGCCCAAGCTGTGTCTGTGGCAGGCCATACCTTCGCAAGCAGTCTGTGAGGGTGGTGGTGCCCGACACGTGGCTTTCCCCATTCACGACGCTGCCATCGCTGCCCGGACTCAGCGGCCAGAACGGGGTGGAAGAGCCTGGCAGATCCAAACTGATGTCCCAGAACGGGTCTATCGTCGTGGAAACGCCACTGTGGGAAAGAGAATGGTTCCATACACCTTTAAAGGAAGCCAAATGAACAGTTTCTCTCTCGCTTTGGGGTGCACTGCAGGTACTTTATTTTAAGGACTTTGGGATCTCCATCACCCCTAGAGGGCACTCAGAGATGACAGAAAATAGAGCTGCTCCAGATATTTTCCCATAATTGATTGTTTCCCTGCATATTTAAAAGCTGTGTGTTTGGGGAAAATGTACGTGGATGTATTAAATGCAAAATAAAGTATTTAGGAATTCTCCCACTCACTGAAGCCCTGAGACTCAAAGCAGAGCTGCTCTGAGACAGAGGCACCACTGACCAGTATAAACCAGTTAACATCTGTGACAATCCAACTAGTTTAGAAGCTGGTGTTGTCTGCTCAAGACATGGAAGATGGTGCTTGAGGCTACCTCAAAAAAGAGAAGCCCTTTTAAATACTTTTGCTGTCCAGCAATGCAATAAATTCAGCTTTGCAGTTCCTCTCACCATGTCCTACAACCTTTGGGATTTGAGAGGCCAAAGAATAACTACACCAAGGAGTAGCTCAAGCTCTCCATCAGAGTTCTCTAAAGACAGCTGAAGACAAGCCAAGAGCCAGACTGTGGAAAAACCTGCTCAAATTTTAACTGCTATTGACTCAAATATTTTTTTCCAGCATCCACATTTTTAAGAGAACTTTAGGGGTCCAAGCTCCTTGTTATGTTTATTTTTTGAGTTCTCTCTTCCCCTAAAACTAGCGTCTTTCATTCTGCAATCTCATTAAGCCTTCAATATTCTGCCTTTTCCCTCTGCTTCATTTGTGCAAAAGTTGCCAATTTTCAAAAGAAAACTCCTTTTGTCAAAGTTTCATCAATGTTAATATTGTGTCATAACAAATCAAGCTTTGCATTATCACATAAGGATTCTGTGGCTCTACCAGGCAAAGAACAAAATTTCCTATGTTTTCCTTACAGTAAATCTTTTGCAAATCCCTCCAGGAAACTGAGAATAAAAGCAGATTCAAACAAGCCCAGCCCATGTGCAGGACAGCAAGAATGCAAGGCAGAACAAAAAACAAGAACTCTGACTTCTGCACTACAGCAACACCAAATATCTCCAAAGAGAAGTCAACTTGTTCCAGTACAGGGTAGAACAATAAATACTTTCCCCCCTACTCTTATAAAGGCTTTTTTTCTGGTACCTGAGATTACATTAGGCATCAGCCTCTTTGAAACCTCTCCTGATGATACACAAGGTTCCTGACTGAAGGAAAATGTGATTCTATATTAGAATTTTCTTCAAATGTAGTTGCAATTACGTATTTTGAAATTCAAAGAGATCTTGGAAGCCTTTTCCTTATGATCTTGGAAAACAACCACCTTTTCCAGACTGGTAAAAGATTTGTGTGCACAAGCCTGCAGTAATTCCCAGGCAGCTTTTTAGGTATGTCTTAATATATGACACTTAACTGGTAATTGATTTCATTTAGATGACAGAATTATAGAGTCCCAGGACAGTTTGGTTGGAAGAGACCTTAAACATCATCTCATTCCAGCCCTTGCCATGGGCAGGGAGACCTTCCACTCGACCACGCTGCTCAGAGCTTCATCCAGCCTGGCACTGAACACTCCCAGGGATGGGGCAGCCACAGCTTCTCTGGGAAATCTTTCTGGAGTTTTGTCAGTATTTATTGGTATTCAAGAGGGGAAAGGTTCAGTGCACTGAACTGGAGGGGGTGCAGATTCCCATCAGAGCCCAGGATCAGGAAAAGTGACTTACTGGCAGACTTGACAGGTAACATCCGACTGCAGTCCGCCTGTGAAGATTTGGTCTATGATGCAGTTACAGTGGTTGGGGTTGTTGGCCTTCTTCCCATTATCATCACCTGCAGGAATGCAAACACAGGCTCAGAAGTCAAAAATTCTCTGAAGAAGCAGTGGTTTTTCTTGGGACTGTGTCTCCAGTAACTAACTCAAATTTATACTGCAAGTTCACAAGGATAATACAGAACCCTGCAAAAGTTATGCATTGAAGAAAACAAGGAAACAAGATCAGAATTCCTTGAAAAATATAGAAGAAAACCGAGAGGTGACTAAATGTAGAGGTGAAGCTTTAAGCCACAGCAGCTCTTAGCCAAACCCTTGCTCAGGGTATCTCTCTTTACAGAGGTTTGCTTTGCACTGCCTGGCATAAAGATCAGCTCCTAAGACAAAGAAGCTGCCAAGGTGGTTCATGAAAATCAATGTTTAAACTTCAAAGAGGAAAGAAACTTTAGCAAATGCTACTTTTTACTTCTATTCCAGTCAACTTCTGCGAGTAGAGTGAGGGAAGAGGCTTTGTTAAGAACCATTCATCCCCAGCCCACTGCCTCCATCCCAGCCTTTCAGCATCAATGTGCACCTTCCCTGCAGGTTTTCATCAGGGGGAAAATGAAAGATATCTGAAGTGAGGAGGTAATGCTGTGTCCTCCTCCAGCTTCTCCAGAGGCACAGTGAACACATTCCCATCTTTTAGGCATCACACACTGTCACTGCAGGTCCCAGGAATAAAGTGTCATTTTTAGGACTTGAGTGCTGACATTAGTTCAATTCAACTTTCTCACAATAACCAGAGTATTAAATAACCAAAAACTTCTTCACACAGTTCTCAGCTTCAAAACCTTCTCCCTCCATTCCTCACAGGTGAGGTAGGAAATATACCCTTTTCCTTGGATTTTCAGACTGTCCACTGCTTATTTTCCTTGGGTAGGACAGATGCAGCTGGGCTTGCTTTGCCATCAGAGATGTACACACCAAATACTACACAGATAATTATCTTTTAAAATGCATCTCAAGATGTTTTCCCATCTCCATCAACAGCAACTGCTAAAACAGCTTGGACAGGTTTCCCAGTGTCTTCAACTTCCTGGGAAGTATTTGATTTCTGAAACTGAAATGCTCAGATTGAAATACTGAAATACTCCTCAAATCTCAGCTATTTCTCAAAACCAATTATTTTCTACTCAAGAATGTTCAAAAAAACACCAGAAGAAATAAAAAGTTTCTAAAAGTAGGGCAATAGACCATTTTCATGTGTCTAAGGTGCTCTAGCTGGAGTTTTCTTGTAGTAGGAACAGACAGAGTTATATTTTCTTTTCCAGTGAAGCTTTAGAATTATGTTGAAAAGTATTATATAATAATCTGGCAAAGGTTGCACCGGATTCTAAGTGGAAAAAGCAGTCACAGGTGATGCCTACTAAGCTGCAGTGGGCCACTCGAGTTAATTAGATTCTAAATGCCTCAGGAAAGTTCTCCCTCAGCTGCCGGATTTAGGCTTTACAAACTTTTGTCTGAATTGCCAAGAAAAGCACATTGTTTCCTTAAAAAGACTCTTGAAGAAAATGCTCTAAAATTAGATTTCAAGTGTACGAGGTTCAAGCTGGGGGTTATCACAGCCGGTCTGAGGCGTTTCTTGATGGGAATTTCAGCTAAATCTTACTGAATGTAAGAGCTTTTAAAGGGCTCAATTATGCTAAGCTAATGAGGAGGGCATACAGATAGACACTGTGCAAGGCATCCTTCACCTACAGAAAAAGCTTCACTTATATTCACATTATATTCACAGGCATTAAAGAAAAAAAAATCAAAATGGAATTAACTGGGTTTTAGTTAAAACTCCACTTTTCATTTTTAAAGAATCCACATGCAACTACCACATCCATGTAATCTCCCCATTTCAAATGTTGTCTCTGCTTTGTTTTGAGGGGGCAGAAGGAAAAAAGCAGTGCTGAGAGCTCTTTCCTGGACCACAGGTACCATCCCAGCTGGACACCTTCAGCAGACAGTCATTTCCTCCCACAGAGAGAACTGAGCTCTCCCTTTTCAATTACACAAGTCAATTAGGATCAGTGATGAGAGGGTCTCAAATGAATATCCTGCAAGCTTGTTCCCAGCAAAACAGAAGGGTATTACCCACTCAACATTATTTCCCATGACATTTGGTTGGAGAGGAGGGAAAAAAGAGTAAGATTACCACCTACACACACTTGTCAATATGGAACAGATGCTGAGGGGAGGTATATTATGCAGCTGAGAACTAGAAGCTGCTAGATTGTTGTGCTCAAGTTAAGGTTCCCTTTAACATTTCTATCTCCCAAATGAGGTTTTAATTTCAGACATTTTTTGGGGTTTAAATCCAGTCCAGGCAAATCAGCAGCTTTTAAGAATGGTCAGAATGAGACTAAAAGCAATCTTAAAAATACATGGATATACACATTAATGTGGTTATGAGAATGGCTGAAAATTTAGTTTAGGAGTTTGGATTCAAATTAAATACAACTCTCAAAAAACCCCAACAGGTTATTACTGTGTCTGTGCAATTACTAAGCATGTTAATCTGTATTCAAATTAGACATTTAATATACCACTAAAGGAAAATAATACACAGCAACAGTAAGAAGAGCTATAGACAATTTGTAAAGATTGCTTTCAGTTTTGATATAAAAATAAAAGTTTTTTCTCAATCTTCCATTCTGTATTTTAAATGAGAAAAGCAAAGTCAAGAATTGTCAGATTTTAAAAGGGGTGTTTATCAAAACAAGACATTAATGTTAATATTTCTGCTTTGCTTTGGTCCCTGGTGTTATGAACAAGTGATTGTTATTTCTGACAAAGCAGTGTACACACAAATCTATATGGATCAGAGCAGATGACATGTTTCACAAGCATATGCTACATCAATTCCTAAGAATATCATACAGAATTCACAGAGCAGGGCAGTGTTTTCCTCCCAAATCTCAGCACACCATTATTTTTCTAGCTTCAGATTTGTTTTGCAGCACCCCTTGTTAAAGGCGAATGCAAAATGATTCAAGAAATCCAAATAAATGATCTTGCACTAAGTACAGAAACCCCCACAGCCAGTGATGTCACTGGACAGAAAAATAATTTTTTACTTGGAGTCTCGATCCTTTTAAGAGAACAGTAATTCTGGTCCAATTTTCCCCAAAACTGAAGATGTCCGAGACAAAGGTGGGAAACTAAAAAGTGTCTGTATGTTTGGAACCTCACTGGTGTGGAAGTTTGCAGATTAGAACCCTGAATTTATCCCAGAGCATTGGGGATAAAGATGCATCTGCCATGTTGACTAAAAGCTGACTTAATGCTTTACAACTTGGACAGAAATACTGATTTTTTACACTATTTTTTTCACTAAAATACTACTTTCCAGTTAGATCACCAGCCTCCAGCTGTTGAAATGAAAATGATGCACAGGCAAGACACACTTGACCCCCTTTTATTCAGAAATATTTTCTATTACTTCAGCAGCACAGAGAAGCCCTATTGAGGGTTCAGAATATGCCCAGATGCCACAGCTCATCCCAACAGTGCCAATGCATCTATCACCCCTCAGACAGGATTTTCAAGGAGATCAGACAGGTATCCTGGACTTCCAAAACTCCACAGATGCCACTAAAACAAAGTATAGATTCAACCAGTATTTAAAACACTAACCAAATCAAAACAAAATACCTGGGCCATCCTGCCACATAATCATCTCAGGGCAGTTATAAGATCACAAAACTTATCTTTACATGGACATCAAAACCACGTATTTTTCTTAATTTAGGTAGTGACAGAACAACAACAAATATTCACAGCTTTGTCTTCACTTGCATTAAGACACTTCCTAGACAACTGAGTACGTGGAATGGAAAAGGGATAAATGACTAATGACAGCCAAACAAACATCACTGAATATTTATACATAAGGAACACTTTTATCTACTTTGGTGCCTAAAGCCTTGCTGATCATGAAGAATGTCCAAAAACTAGAGGAAAATTTCCCCCATGACTTTATTTTATTTCACTGTGTGTTAATAGCAAAACTTCATTACTATTGACTGGAAGCTTTAAAAGCTTTTTCCGTTGATTAAAATAAATATTTAATATTGGCAGGGGAGGTATTATTTGCTTACTGTAGCTGTAGGACATTCTCACTATTAGTAATAATATTTTTACATCTGCACTCTTCACATGCAAGTGTGTCTGTGTGGATACACAAGTGGGAAAACTTTCTCATTACACTGAAAACTAGTTCGTTCCAAATGTGGTTTTGCATGACTATACTTGAAATTCTGGTTTAGATTAACTTGTTTGGTTCCCACACAACTTCTCAACCACTTCTTTTAAATTACCTTGATGTGGTATAGATTATTTACTATGATTTAATAAAAGCCTCTCTATTTCTTCAGAAACAGAAATTTTGAAAACCTGGCTGCAGAGAAATTCTTCATTTAAAGTCAAACCACATTTTTTTCTAAAGTCTTTTCAGATTCTTTATCAGTTTGAGAAGAGCTCAAGGACTTTTATTGTTGCAAGTTTTTCTCTTTACCATTCTGAGACACAAATACTGCTTCATTAATTAATGAGGATGTGTAGAAGAAATATGAGCACTGCATTTTATCAGAGATGATGAAAAAAGCTTCAAGATTTGTTAGATCAATGGTTCAGAAATTTAACAGGAACAAAGAAATGCTTCTGTCTGCAGGTGAATTTATTTTCAGTGTTAAGAAGTGAGACGTCAATATTTGGGTAGATTTTGCTCCTTACTGGACTTCCACACCAGTTTAATTTTAGTTTAATTTAATTTAATTTTTTATTGAAATCCAGTTAGTGGCTGTCAAATGACAGATATTAGTAACTAAAAAGGAACTGCTCTGTGTACTCCTGTCCTTAGCAATACTTTCTTTGGAGAAAACTCTTTTGGAGGCACCAATTACAGATGTGAACAAGCCCATGTGCTGCCATGCAGGGCTACCTCAGAGATAAGAGCGAGGCTCACAATGGTTCACAGAAGCAGCAGCAGCAGCCTTCCTTTTGATAGTCCTCTGATAAACCAAAAAATTAAACCCTAAGTGCTTTTCCTAAGCAAAATTTGAGCAAAGTTGAGTGCTTAAATCTTCTTTTTGATAACCAAGGACTTTTTATTTGTTCTGTTAATATCAACCCTACTACTTTTCCCTTGGATGAATAGTAAAAATTTTGTTGTTGCAGTAAGTGAATCAAGCTAGAGCAAACATTTGGCAGATTAGGAAATTTTCAGTTCAGCTTTAGTTCAGCTAACAAACAGAAAGCACATAATTTCATATGATATTAGAAAATCAAGACTTAGATACTTCATACCAGAAAGCATGGCACTGAATATTTTTATTGAATTGTACAATTACGTGTTGTTCTATACAGACTAATAAAACAAGATACCATAGCCACCCATTGCTCTTTCTTATTCACATTTCTGTAAGCAATTTGGTATCAGAAATACAGTAGAATCATATTTAAGTAGAATAATAGTATAAAGTCTTAAGACACAGCCTCTCCCCTATGTTATTTTCATCAGTCCCATGACACACTGAGTAAGAGTTCTAACTACTTCAAGTATAAATAGAATTAAAATGGCAATTTAAAAGAAAAGACAGTGACTCACAACCAATAAGAGAACATCATGATAGTGACTGAAACCAATATAAAGGCTTGTCTCCTTCTAATTCTTGGTATTTTTTGACAATGGGAATGGTTTATTTTTTATGAATATTTTAAGTCTACCGAACAATTTTAAAGGAATTTGCTAAGAGTGCTGTACTGGCACTAGACTTGGTTTAAGTAAATATGGTTCTACCTCTTTTTGATGCAATAATCCTTGTTGATTGCAGCCACAGGACAAACCTTACCTTTGCAGTGTCTGTGTAGCACATCTAATGCAGCAATGAGGAACTCGTGTGCATCTTGTTGCTCGTACCCTGCTAAATGCCGTGCGTGAGTCCATACCAGGTGCAATAACCTATATGGAATGTGAGGAGATCGGTGCCCAGAGTAAAACTGCTCAAAGCAAAGAGAAGGACATGACTGTTAACAACTTACACAGCCTCAGAGCATTTCATTATTAAAAAGTTAAATGAGCGCAATTAGTCAAATCAATTTCAACCGTTTAATTCTGATGGCCTTATTAATAAAGGAGGGAGACAGCTTTTGTCACAGACTACTGGAGAAGTGATCTCAGAACTGAGTAGCTCAGTTTTCTCCCCTGAAATTCCACCAATTTGTGATGGATTAGCCTGAAACATGTGGGGGTGCAGGGAGTGGGGTAGACAGACACAAACATCACTCACAATTTGCTTACTGATACCACTGGCTTTTATTAAAATAGCCTGAGGAGGAAAGAAAGGAAAAAAATCCTACATTTGAAAATGATCAGCAATTTCATTCACAAATTATGTGAATGAAATGCCTCCCCCACCCTTCTATATCAGAACAAACACTGAAGATGAGGATATTAGATGCTGACTGTCAGCCAACCCTGACCCATGGCAACTCTGCACCCAAATGCTGTGCACAATCCAATTTGATGGAAAAAATTTCCAAGCAGGGCAGCAGCCTCATGCCAGTACTGGCCTTTCACTGTAAAAGGCTTCAAAAACAACTTTATTGAGCCAGCTGTTTTTGCAGAGCTGAAGGTCCTCATTCAGCAGCGATCCCCAAAGCCAGCTGCCCCTGGTGTCCCTGCCTGGAATCTGGTGCTGGACCAGCTCTTGCATCTGCTCCTTCATCTGCTTCAGTCAAAATCTGATGAGCTGGCTCTGGAGTGACTAAAACTGCCCCAGGTGATTTTGCCAGAAGCACATTAGAGTGTGCACAGATGAATTATTCAGTCAGCACAGCCTGATGTGAAACACTGCTGCTGCTGCTGGGGGGTGACACAGCTGGGGAGGGAAATCAGCACAGGACAGGAGGACACTACCCACAGAAACTTTTTAAAATTAAAATCCAGCCAGATCCCACTCGAAAAAACCCAAACAAAAAAAAAAAACCCGAACAACCAACCCACCCCAAAAAAACATGCCAAATAAACACCCATGCTAAGGGTCTGTGTTTCCCTGGGTTGAGGTTCAGCCCTTCCTTTATCCTGCACAGTGATAGCACATCCAAAAGCAAAGCAGAAATGCTTGTGGTGTTCCTGCAGGAGTCAGAAAAGGCCCAGAAGAGTTTATTCACTTGATAGAGTAACATTTGTGAGTAATTTTGCCTTCCCTCACCTTTGGCAAAGTTATCTGCCAGTAAATGCTGCCTGCAACACCACAATTGTTTTCCCAAGATCCTATCAAATCCATGGCAGTTTCTTTTCAGTTACTCCTCCCAAACAGAAGACAGACAGTGGCAAATACACAGAACAAAAACAAGATTTAAACCCCCCGCAGTATATAACTCTCATCCTCACTGGAAATATGAGCTTCCTTCCCCAGCCCTGAGTATCTCCCTGGACAGTCTCTGAGCATTTTAAGGAAGTCCAAGCACAGGCACTGTGCTACAAACCTGCTGAGAGAAAACACTGCATTTTAAGGAACAGGTTGGCAAAAGGCAGCACAGTCTTCATCTAGTCCTCATATTGGTAGGGCTTTCTACATGATTTTAGTGTATTTCCTCCCACAGAAACTTCTTCCTCACAAGCTCTGCTTTTCCCAAACAAGAAGCTGCACCTTTGCAGCCAAACACCACAAAATGCTCCTATAAATATAAAGATCAATAGTTAACTCTGATGCCAACAAGGATGACACCGAGGGACTGGAGCAGGAGTGTGGTAATTGAAATCTGCTGACGCAGCTGCTGCTCAACATAATTCAGGGAACTGCAGCAATAAAACTTCCCTGTTCTGTCACTCCTTACAATTAGTCCCAGAGCTCTCCGGTCATTTTAACCACCAGCACTCCATGTAATTACTTCACTGCAGACACAAGACCTGCCAGCAGATTTTACATTCTCTGCTGCCTCAGTAGGATGAGAAGGATCTGACATGAAGCTTTAGCAAATCATTAACTATTATCACACACAAAAAAAAAAAGCAACCTGCCTGGTAAGAATGTGGGGTGGGGGAAGAGCTTCACTGTCGAATAAATATTAAATAAAACAAATAATCTGAGCACATTCAATAACAATATTTTAACTGGAATGTATAAAACATTCATCCCATCTCTGTCATTTCCTTGCTGCTGGGAAGAGCAGCCTATCAGAGCCGTTCCAATCCACAAAAAGGAAAAGAGTCCATGTAAAGTCTTATTCCAACCTTCTCACTGAAGTGTGCAAATATAAACAATGATGTATTTGCAAGTCACCTTTAAAACACTTCAACAGCACAACTGTTCCAAAAATAATTTAAACTTTTTTTTGTTTAAATTTGTTTTCAATTCAGCAGTATCAGTTGTTTATATTGGAGACAACTAGTTTCAGCAATTTCTAAGTGCTGGGTAATACACTGCTTAATTGCTGTTCCAGGAAAAAAAAAGGGAAGGGGGGCAGAAAGGAATAAACCAACCAGGATTTAAAGCTTTCATTCTCACACACAGCCCAAGCAAAAGTAATTTTGTTTTTCCACTTAAAACACTTACTGTTGCATTCTAGAAAGAATCTATGGGGCATTTACAATACCATAGGCTTTGTAATTTGCATCATTGTTACCAAAAGTATACAGACACCAGTGAGGTTTTAAAACAAAACAAAACCCCACCATACACATCCATACTTCTTTTTCCTTGTCCTGCCAAAAACAGAAGGTTCTCAATTATGTGAGTAAACAGATAAATTTGATTTATCCTGCACATGTATCCACTAAACAGCCTCTGAGCTTTGTAATTACAAGTTTATAGGCAGAAATCTTGCACCAGGTTCAAGTCCAACTTGAGAAGTCAAAAACTCCTCTTGGAAATTGGTTCTCAGTAAAGACTTTAAATTTTCTGGCAATTTACAATGCATGAAAGGAGTGGGCAATACATGGAACACATACAAGAGAACACCTTCTAGAGGTTTCCCAAAGAACAATGGTTCAAAAAATCACAAAATATATTTTGCTTGCATGAACTCTGTATGTTCTACACTTGTTTCAAGGAAAAGGTTTTACTAAATCAACACAAAGTCTGTATTTTCCATGACAAAAGGCAAGGCTTCTGTCTATGTAAAGAGCCTTAAATACATTTCTCCCCCCTTCCTTTGGGGGTTACAACTCTGTGTTGTAACTTATTTTATACCTAAGTCACTTCAACAGTAGCATCCTCAAATATCAAAGCCATAAATCATCTCTTCCTTCTCCCTCTTGGTCCTTACTTCTCAACTCTTCCCATGCTTGTGCTGTGCACTGTGATAGGCTCACGAGGATGAGTAATGATGGGAAAAAGGAAGGTTTTGTTCCTTCCATCTCTGAGTAGATGCACTGCATTCTGCTCAGCTCCCAGGTATTCTTACTATTCCAGTCACAGAGAGCATGAGACACAGATCTTCTAATCCTACCTTCCTGAGTGGTCATTCAGGAAAGGATTTGGATAAACCTCTGGGTGTGGACCATCCTGAAATTCATTTTCATTGATGAAGCAAAACTACAACACAAACACCGTAGGTAAAAAAGAGTGCACCAACCCTTTCAGCCAAAAGGCTCAATGAATGGATTCTGTGTTCTATCTTCCCTCCATCCAGCTTCACCACTATCTGTTACTCCCAAATCCTTTTCATTCCTTTTCTTAAGCAGTAAGTCATGTCATGATTCTATTGAGAAATAGGTTTCATGTAGCACAAATGAGAATGTTAATTGATGCAGTCAGATATTTTTAAAACAAACAGAGCTCAATGCTTGGTGTGTCTGCCAGAAAAGCTACCAGGAAAAAACCACCTCAGTCCTGAGAACCATCTGATAGTCATTACTCACCACCAACCTACTTCAAGGTGGAAGAACTTTTAGCTTCCTATTTATCACAAAGAAATCGCTCAACCTATATAGCTACATGATCTTAAACAAAAAAAGAAATAAAGTGGGATGGGTAACTTCTGTTTAAGAGGCAAAAGAGCAAAACTTGCTTGTTTATATATAGTAAGTTTTATTTAATGTTCAAAACAGTCTTGCTTTTTCTCCTGGAGAGTTCCCACTCAGGCACTCACCAGATCCCCTGGCATTCCATTTGCCTAAGATCACACCTTCAGAAGAGATGGGTGGAGGGGAGATGAAATTAACCCTTGCCCTGATTGTTTGTCCCTGGGTAAGATGCTTTGGGATAACCACACCAGTTAATCCCAGTGGGAAAGCTATGTAGAGACAAGACAGAACCTGAATCAAAGTTTCCCTGGTAATTCAATTACAAAGGAATTCTTAACCAGAGCACTGAGATCTCCTGGTTTGCCTTCCTTCACCCAGACCTCAGCTCTGCAAAAGCAGAGACAGTCTTCACTGCAACCACTGGATAGAGCTGGGACATGAAACATAACCAGTCTGCTCCAGAAAACGCAAGATTTTCATTTTAATTCCAAATCCAGAGAAATTAAAACTCACTGGGAACAGAACTGTACAATGGGTGCCATAAAAGCAGGAAGGTATTTACTGCTTGTGAGTTAAAATACACCAAGTTGGTTACAGACCCAACAGCTTTGCTTAGGAGGATTAAGCTCCAGTTTTACTTCAAGGAGGTTGAGTCATTTTCTGTGTCCTCCCACAGCACATGGCTGCAGTATTTAATGTGAAATAAGGACAGTGACTATTGCTGTCTGCACAGTCTGGTGTCACAGATATGTTCCCTCATCCATACACCCTCGTGTTGCAGAACATTTAATTAATAGAACTAATGCAAGTGCAGGCATGAATTTTGGTTTGAAAATGAAGGCTGAGTTCCCAAAATTGTGTATGAAATTAAACTTTATTATGATGGAAACTAACACAAATGCTGCATTTAAGCCCCATTTTGGATAACAGCCTGTTCTTTGTTCCATGCTTAGAGTAAAGCAAAAGGCATCCTGAGCCATCAACAGGGCTCCACATACAAAAATGGAAACAAAAATCATTACCTAGAGAGTCTTGATCTTTCCTGCAGCCTCTCAATCTGTAATGCAACACTCATTTCCCCTTTCCCATGGGATTTTTTTTTAAAAAATGCATGTGCAAATAGAGTGTGGTGATGTTCATCAGTATGAGACCTTATATCACTATTTGATGAAAGCATATCAAGGATATAATAGTTCCTTATTTTTAAATAAGCAAATAGGTTACTGTATTAACGGTGTACAGAAACTGGTATTTCTATACCATGACTGACTTTTTTCATCTAGGCATTGTGGTATTTCCTCACTTAACTGCACATCTGGTTTCAATAATCTTACAGCTGCTACCTATTGGTCTGCCTGCCTTTTGTTTTTACCTCCTTTCCTGACAGACTTGGGAACAATTGAAAAATAGAACAAAAGTAAGAAATGTAACATACAGCTAATGATTGATAAACAGCATGAAATGTTGCAAATCCTCAGAAGTCTTGAGCATGAGCAGAAAACAACTTTGTACTGGAACAACTAAGGGGGCTTTACCTTCTTCTATGTATGCTTAACTCACCTGCAGTGAGCAAAAAGAATCATCTCTGGTGAAAAAGGCACAAAAGTAAAATCAAATTGAAAACCACAAGATAAAGGTAAAGCTCTTTTAGATTAGTCCCTGTCAGAATGAACTTTCATGACAGGACATCCACAGAAAACCTGCTCTGTGTACAGACATCTCCAGCAATTTTAAATGCTCCATGACAGCACATACACTACAGGTCTTTTTGGTCTTTTGGTTGGTTTTGGGTTAGGGTTACTTACCAAGAAAGTAGATCCACCAGCGAGGGAAAGGCACAGAACTGGGTTTGTTTTAAAAGACATCTTAAAACTAGGAGCCCATGTCTACCCACAGTCCTTACATTACTGATGTGGAATGAAGATAGTTAATAAAGCTCTTTAACTATTTATTAAGGAAAAGCCTGTGCCTGTCCACAAAGCATGGACCAGACCTACAGTAAAGACACACTGCAAAGCAGATTCCTGAGTGGGAGAGAACTGTGGCTTGCACAGGGAAGACACAAACTTCAGCAACACATTTAGTTCTCTTTATTCTCCTTCCCGGCCCTTACTGGGTTTGCACGTAAGAGATGACAGAAAAGATGTTTCTGCTGGTGAATAAGCACTGAATGGAGATCTTTAAAATATTCATACAGACCTACATAATCCAGTACCTTAAACCACAAAGATGTATACTACTGCTTTATTCTCACTCCCATGATCACCCAAAGAGCTCATGACATATTTTCCAGTTACAACTTGCACCTTTAATTAAAGCACACATTCAGCTTTCAGACTAAGGACTCCCAGATCAGTCTCAGAACAGGCAGCACTGTAATTATTTCCAATACCAGCTTTGCCTAAACAAGGGTGACTTCACAACAGGACTTAAAAGCCATTAGTTTTCTTTTCAGCAGCTGGGTATTTTTGACAGCAAGATCTCAATCTTTACTGCTTTGTTTTACTGCACTTTGAGGGGAAACATGACTTGCATTCCCTGCAAACAGAATGCCATTCCTTCCAGGGTAAGAAACAGTGTCTGTGGCAAGGTGATGCTTTGTGGCAAACAGCACTCACCTCCTGAAAGAGAGTAGACATTTCACAGACCAGACATGAGCTGGGGCTTTGCATTTCACATTTGTGCCTGTCGGAGAGGAAGAAATCTCGCAGCAGTGGAGTGTGGGTAAGTGCCTGGACAATACAGTTCATAAAACATGTGTTCCCAAGATTGATTAGCCCTCGTAGACCTATAAAGACAGAAAGGGGGAGGGGATCATAAGCATTATCAAGCTAAAAAATTGGTAGATTTGCATTTTTACATATTTTTCATATTACTGCCATGGATTTACTCTATTACATGCACAGCTCCAAATACAGTTTTACACTGGTTTAGGGAGGCTATTGGCATTTTTGTACTCAAGTCACAAGAAGCTGTAGAAGCTTTCTGAACTACACTAGGATTTCTTAAATTCTAAGAAAACCTAGAAGTTCAGCAACACCAATACCATTATTTTGCAATGGCTGTAGTGCCACATGTCACCAAAACACATCCCTCCCAAGACTGATACCAAAGTGCAATGACAACAACTGCTAAGTCAGTACAGTATGAAACCAATACATTTAAGGAAATCGGTGAGTAAATTTTCAGATTATTTAAAAAGCTTTCCCCCATGCAGATCATGAAGCCAGAATAAGGTTTTTGTACTATTATAATCATCATCTTTCTAAGACAGGCAGCAAAGGAAACAGCCCTGACAAACCAAGTCAGGCTGTGACATCCAATGCAGACTCAGGAGATTTTGTATAAAACCCAAGATCTGAACAGAATAACTTTAAAAAACAAACTCTGAAAAACACTAATTACACACTTGTTTTAGGTAAATTAAACATTAATCTACAGCATACATCAAAATATTCAACTTGGCATAAGAGGATTCATCACACCTTAAGTCAAACGTTCAGTAATGCCCAGAGACGATTCCTTGTGCTTGGAAACCAAGATGCTTAAAGGAAAGCTCTTTTGTTGCACAACAGAAGAGAGGTTAGGAGTGGGGAAAGCTTTTCAGTCATTTGCAAAGTCTAAGTGAGAAGAAAAACATGCTCAAATCCTTGAGTATTCTTCCAAAATGTTAACATAATACCACCATACAGGAGCAGTAAACAAGAAGAGCATCAAGTGTCCAAGAATGCTTATTTTTAATCAACAACTTACTTTGAAACAAGATAAAATGCACGGATAAGATACAATTCTGGTATTGATTTAAAATTAACATAGTCCTCTTCTGCAATAAAAATAGGATTACTACAGAAACATTGAAAGAACACATAAGATTACTGGACAGAGAAAGAACAATTTCCTTGTCATTCAATGGGATGATAAAAACCCTCTCAGCTGGCAGTGGTGTGGTAATTGGAAGTGGTGCAGTTCCCGTGCAGTACAGCAGATAGTGCTCCAAGGGCTCTTTAGCATCCTGCAGCAGGAGGGGGTGTGGTCCAGTTGCTACATTACCCAGGAGAACCAGCACCACACCAGCTTCAACTGCACCTGGAGCTGAAGGCACGGACACAGAGCACTCCTAAATTTTTTTTTTCCTGTATCTAAAGCAACATCGACCTGCTTCCAACAGCTTCCTGTTCCTTCTGTTTACTCACAGGACAAAATTTCTCATTATATTACAGTGACTTCTACTGGGCAGAAGCTTGTTGCAATTATTTGCTCAATTTTCATGCTGGGAGGCAATAAAGTGTGTGCACAACATTAGCAGAGTGTTAAATAGTTAATTTGTTGGAGCAGCTTGAAATACTGTGTGATGCTTCAGCTTGGTCCACAAAACCTATTTCAATTCCCAGTCTGTGTCTCTGCAAACAATGTCACAACAGGAGGGAGTTCGTGCTGTGCAAGTAGAGAAATGTTTTGGTACCTCTTGCTTACCTCTCCCCTCATTTTCTGCCATTTAAAATTGACTGGGTTTATTTAAATCACAGGCTGTGCTCACAGGAGGCTGGAAGGCTCCCTGACATGCAGGGTATTTTGAGAAGCAGCAGAGTCTCTCCCTATTTCTCCCCCTGGTTAGCACCAGATTTCAAAGTCAGTCTGTTCAGCACAGAAAACTAGAGGAAAACCACTAGTAAATCTAGAGATTCCCCCTAGCACTTTTTGGTGTCTAACAGAGCAGTCACAAAAGCAAACACATAAAGGCAGCTTTTTGGAATCATTTATTAAGCATCATTTATTACATGCCTGTGGCTGGACCGTCTTTCCCTGTGACCACAAGAATCAAATCTTCCTCAAAGTTGCCACCAGGAGACAGTTACAGGCATCAAACTCAGAAGGCTCTTGGTTTTCTCTGCTTGCTTGGTCTTTGGTGTCAGTTTTTCATGGCCCTAAATGGAGCGATTCATGTGCTGGGTCTTCACTTGACTGAAGCAAGACAAAGCAACCTGCAAAACAGACAAGTCTGAAACGTGAATACTCCAAACCCCAATAAAAATCAGAAATTGGTGATTTGTATCAAAACCCGAGAACTAACTCAGTTGAAAAGGGAAAAAGCAAAGGAGCACACAGCAATCTTATCCTTGTGGGAGCAATGACTGCAGCTGCTGTAGAGACTCTTAAACTGGTGTTTGAAATGAAACAGGTATGAGGAACTATAGCTCAGGTACTGCATAAATAATTGCAGCACACTGAAAAACATCAGAATTGGATGCAGGTAAACTAAAGAGCTGACAGAACTCAAAACAACACATCCTCCTGTGCTTAACTTTTATGGGGAATAATGACTTTTGTTGGAAAGAAAAACAGCAAAAAATTAGAGCCCATACAGCACTCTGGTCAATAACATATTGAGAATGTAAAAGCTTTGTGCCTGCCACACCTATTCACTCCCCTTTAATAAAGCCTGGCAAGGTTTTGCTGGAACAGTCAAGCATTGCAACATGTGGGTCATAAATTAATAGAAAAATAATGTGCCAAAACCTCACATGCAGCAGTCCATTTGTGCTAGAGCACCAACAGTGATCTCCACCAGGCTCTAATCAGAGCACAGTGTCAGAGTCTAAGGATTGCCAGCAGGCTCCAACCTCGACTAATAATAAAGCTCTGGTACTTTGAAAACTTCTGCTGTGCTTCATAACATTGTCTTTATTTTTGTTTCTTATGAATTGCTTCTGAAATAAGCAAGGACAACCTGTGAGATACTTAATATTTTCCACACATGGATGTGTGCTGTTGTGGTAAATGTACTTCACAGGAAAGCAGTTTTAGCTCTGAACCTTGCTGATACAATTGTAAATATTGGAATAAATTAATGTTGCTGTCAAGACAAAATTGTCATGTATGGTATAATCATAACAGAAACAAATATCCTTTAATCATCATGCATGGAATACCATCACTGCTCTCATTCTGCCACAAGCTGAGCAGGCAGGGCACAGGCAAAGGCAAGAAATCTACTTTTGCAATGCCTTGAGCACACAGGGAAACCCATCTGGGAAATTCTTTGTACATTTGGTCTCAAGACTGAGTTCTGGCTGGCTTACCTTTGTCAGCTTCAGTTCTTCCATCTTCTTCCAGGAATGGGTTCTGTTTTTCTAATGCTCAAATCAACAGATCTGCAACACTGGGCAAGAAGGATTGTTGGGATGCAGGGAGATCCAGAACACTAGTTCTGCCAGTCCACCCACGCAGGGGAGATGAAAACTCCAAGACAAGATAAGGAAATTCCACTTCTCCGTGAATGCAACTCTACAGCTATCAGAGGTGGGGAAGCAGGGAAATGAGAGGACCACACATGAATAGAAAATACAGAAAACCCAATCTTGCCCTCATGGAGGAGGTTCTGTTTGCCTCTAAACCCAGGCTTTGGGCTGGGACTGGAAAGACAGCAAACAAACCAGTCTGAACAAATGTTCCCATGCAGAAACCTGGGATTTAGTGAAATGAAGGTTCTGGAAGGAAGAGCAGCAGTCACTGGACAATGTACCTTGGTGAGACAGTCAGGAGATCATTCAGGTGCACCAAAGCACAGCCAGCCCGAGATCCTTTCTACACAAAGCACAAGTTGATGACACCTTAGAGCAATCTTTGTCCCCCACCCCCAGTCCCCCATCTGGTGCTGATGCTCCCCTGCAGCTCCATCAGACGGTGTCACAAGCCAGTGCAAGCTGAGGAAGAGCTCACTGAAATATTTAAAGACAGTTCAACAACACACAAACAGTGTAGCACAGCAGTGAAGATTTCTAGAATAATTTTGCGTCTTCATCCTATGTTCGTCCAACAGGAACTGGCAACAACATTTAAGAGCAGCGTTCTGAAAATATTTCAAGAGAGGACTGCCCTAGTACCTAAAACTACACCCAAATTCTCTCTCAGCTCTCAAGTTTCAGGTGTAGAATATATCACACATGACCTGAATGGAGCTGCCACAAACACTGGTCCAGTCAGACCCAGAGCTGCTGTTCCACCTGTGTGCCAGGAGCGGAAGTTTGGCTAATGGGGTTAGTGACAGCAATTATTCTCCAAAGCTAATCCCTTTTGAAATGTTAATACAAAAATACTCATTTCAGAAAGCAGCAGTATACAGATTTGTGAAATTACAAGTCTACACAGGAAAACTCACCACATTCTGTGACACCAATGATCACGTGAGTGATCAAAAAACCCCAACCACGCAGTTTTGGTGAATTTATTCCCCAACACTTCAGCTAAGCATCCTTTCTCAGGGACTGAAGCCCACATCAACTACAGAAGCAGGAATAACGAGTCAATGAATTCACACTTTTTCTTCTGAGATTTTTACAGAACATTTTTTACAAACTTGCCAATAACACATTTGGGTATTAAATTGTTCTGACAACTATTTAAGAAAAAGCCACAGAAACTTTTGCCACAGTCACATTAAATGAAGGAATTTCAACCACGTGATCTTAAATTCAACTACCTCCAGCAAACACAGAACATGCAATCGACCCTGAAAGAAAAAAAATCATCTTGGGAGGGAAAAGAGGAAGAAGATTTGTGATTCATTGGTTCACACTGGTTCATCAGTAGATCTTCTTTTCAATAGAGTAGTTCTGACAGCAACACCAAGCAAGGGATTACACCACAGATCAAAGAAGTGAAGATGAGCCCTCAGGGCAGTAAAATAATCTTCCCTTGCTGGGTTACTGCTGAACCAGGTGAAAACATGCTCATGCTCCCTCTTTTTTATTTTTTCTGACTTGACTCCTCTTCTCCAGCTATTCAGGG